GATGCGGAGAGGGCAACAAAGAACCAGGCTAAAGACAGCAGGGGTGTGTATGTCAGGTGCAACGTTGAGGGGGGGATAGGCTCAGGGGGAGGTGCATCGACCGCCCATCGCCCACTCATCGCCGATATGGGCCCGATGGCCCACCCCGCCCAGGAACGTGCGGACTCGCTGTCGGGGGCCCATCGCCGATCCATCGGCGATGTATCGCGCCGATTGCAGCTCGATGTTGCCCCCCGTGGAGCCAGTCCCCATCCTGTCGTTGCCCCTCAGCGTGGAGGGTTTCGGGGGGCAGGGCGGCAGGGAGGGCAGGAGGCCAGGCTGGCGGCACCGAGCAGTCGAGGTCGGCTCCCCCTCCCGACCGCCCTGGCCACTTTCCTGGCCAATCTCCCTGTCACCCTCCTCGCGAATTCTAGACGCTTCGTGTAACCCCACCAGCCACTCCAGCAACGATGCGAAGACGAGTTGCCCTGATCAGGGATGTGGAGGAGCATGCCGTGGAGTAGTGGGCTGGGTAAGACGTTCTCTCCCAAGAGGCGGGAGGATGGAGCAGGAATCGGAGGAAGAGGCGGAGGAGGAGGAGGGAGATGGAAGGAGGAGGAACAGGCGGATGAGGAAGAGGCCGAGAAGGAGGAGGAAGATGAGGATGAGGAGGAGGAGGTGGAGGAGGAGGGCGAACAGAAAGGCCAGAAGCCTCTTGGATGCCCTTCGGAGTCTCTTCGCATTTCTTCCGAGAGCTTCGTGCCAGGTGTGCGCCAGGTGTGCCGCATACTCCAGCCGCGCCAGGTGCGCCACGTTCGGGGCACGTGCAGAGTGTGTCAGGTGCGCCTGCGCACGTGACTGCACACATCAGGAAACATGTCGGCCCCCACCATCCTTGTCGAAAACTAATGCCCATCATTGTGTCTGGTGGACCTGCGCACATCAGGCCATACGCCACCACCCCCGCCGTCCCTGTCAAAAACCACTTGACAGTGATCGCGGGGTGGCCGCGCATGATCCAGATTTAGCCGCGAGGTGCATCTTGTACTGGATGGTAGCCCTGCGCGCAGCAGCAGGCAATATGCTGACACCTCCGCAGTCCCTGCCAGAAACTATACAAAGTGCTCGCGGGCCTCACGAACATGACTCAAGACTTTGCCCCAAAGTGTACTTCGCGTACTGTTAGTTGACAGGGACGGTGGGGGTGGGCCGCATCGGATTGGCCGCGCATGCTCCAAATGTGGAAGCAGGGTGCGTTTTGTATTGTTCTTGACAGGGGCGGTGTGTGTGTGTGTGAGAGCATTTTGTCCTCATGGTTCCTGGTTGGCTGCCGGTCGCCTGGGGTGGGAGTGTATAGGGAACAGTGATAAGCCCCTCCCCGAAGGTGAATAAGGGGGTTGGAAGGGGAAACTCCAGACCACTGATGCCCTAAAGGGCTAAGGTCTCCCAGGAGCGACCAGTACCGTAACAATATATTATCTGTAGGACTCCCGATAGTGTTTATGTATTTATTTGTAAATCCATACATATATAGATGTATATATATATATATAGAGAGAGAGAGAGAGTGTGTGTGAGAGCGAGAGAGAGAGAGTGAGAGCGAGAGAGTGAGAGAGAGAGAGGGAGAGAGCGAGAGAAAAAGAGAGAAAGAGAGAGAGAGAGAGAGAGAAAGAAAGAAAGAGAGAGATGGAAAGAGAGAGAGAGAGAGCAACGCAACCACAACGACGTAACAAGCTTTTCACACCATGGCTCGCGAGAGCGAGCGTGACGTGAGTCATTCCGCGCCCGGGCGGGCCGGGGGACCAGGACCACTACCCCAAGTGTCGGTGCCGGGGGCCGAGGAGGATGCCCAGCGAGGCGTCTCGAACGGCGCCAGAAGCTTCGAAGACGCCCCAAGTGGCGCTCCAAGACGACACCCGAGAGAGCCCCGAGAGGCACACCTCTTCCCACTCCCTCAGGAAGACGTGCATTGTTAGCATGCTTCCGGGACCTTCACAGCAACACAGACGGCCCAACATGCTCCCTGGACTGACTGCCCTACGACGGCCCAAGAAACCCCCAAGAGGGCCCCAAGACGGCCCCATGGGTCCGAAGACGGCCAAAGGCGTCCA